AGGCTCGGGGTGGCATGGCTTCATAGCTTTGGAATAGGCTCGATAAGACTTGAAATGCTATCCAATTAAATAAATAAATCAATAAAGGAGTCGAACACGTGGCTTAATCCTAACAGAGCCCTACCATTTACTACAGTTTTCATGTGAACTGATGCCGAAAAAAACCTTGAAATAATTGTGGAACGTGTTGATTCAGAGTATTTCAGATCTACTTTGTTGGAGTGAAGCCAGCTTCGAAAGGCGGCAATACTTACAATATCTATGGAAACTGCAGTACGAGCGGCGAAGCGCCGGCAAGTAGTTGTACGCCTCCACCACCGGTAACATGCGAAAAAACATGCGAGTTAGTATTAATTCCAGCCTTACAAAGGTTGGTCAGGGCCAGTGGGATGGCATAAACTCTTGTCGAGTATTTGTTTGGGGCTCTAAACTCTAAGCTAGCCTCCGCAGTCAGTAGACGAATGCCCAATAGAAGTTCCGATGAGACTGTCTCCAATGTGCCAACACCAAACTTTTTGGTTATCCAGCTATTAAGTAGGATTTAGTCCATAAAAACGGGTTCACAGCGTAACCCTACTCTTGTAACCTAGGTACTACCCAGAATCTTCTTATGCGCATAGGAATCCACATCGGGAAATCAATCTAAAAGAAATAGTTTCGCTACTTTGAGAAGTGTAATATGCAGTCTCACCAGGGTGCGGGTCAGGAAGTGCCATTGCGATCGCCGCTGGCGAACCTATGCAATCGCGCGCGCAAGTCTACTCCGCGAGTTCTACTGGCCCAGACCACTTACTTTTTTGTAACTTCACTTTGCTTATTTCATCTTCAGAAAGTTGCTCTTTCTATCTTCCTTCACAACTGTTCAGGTTCGTTATCTGTGAGTCAATACCAGCAGGACTAGTATTCAATTCATCATATCCAATCTACAACAGTACTACAAGCTGCTGGATGAGGCTAATGATTGAGTTCATTTTTTCCTTTTATATTTTTTTNTTTTTTTACCTTCTTCAATACTCGATCTTTTACACAAGCCTTCCCAGGACCCCTCACAAGGTGCAGCGGCCTGTACCTAAAGAGGGGAGAAATCCTTCTGCTATTATGACGGTGAAATGAAAAATGGAGGGAACGCAGATCGACAGAATCGGTATAGTCAAGGTCTGGGCAGACTGTTGTGGCATTTCGGTTACTGTTGCACTCGGTTGCCCCGAAAGGGACCTTTTCGTTCCAAAACAACAAGTAGACATTGTCCCTGGTAGTAAGCTTTTGAAGAATGTATCTACTCAGAAAAAGGGCTTGGGAGAAAGGTGGAGGGGTGGAGAGCGATCTGGATTTCCATACAAAATGCATGAATTTCTTTTACCGTGCAGACTTCAACATTCAGATTCGTTTTCTAGAAAGTTCCCCATCTATTGCTGAAAAACTTTGAGGATTACTTTCTCACTTGTATAGTATGTTTGATTTATAGACACAGAATAAGTTCCAGGCGTTTTTGCTTGACTGGAAGGTTTTTTTTCACCGTATACCCGTTCATTCCCTGAATAGTTGACATCTCGGGAATGTTATCAGGTGACATAATTTTTCACAGAGGAAGTCGCAGGCCCTAAAGATAAAATGTTACTATGTAAGAAAAATTTCTATTACGTATCTCTGCTCTTTAATCGATTAGATCTATCCAAACCTGAGTAGTAATAATGAGCTTTTACTGCTTCCGAATATACCCATCAAAAACAGTATCACATGATCATTTAAGGGGCAGAGCCACACATGCGCGCTTGCATTTGGGGGGTCAGAGTCCAAGGCCCTTATGCTTCTGTCATCGACATCTGAGACGACTTTCAGATCAGTTCCGAGTTCAGAAGACACTGAATGCACTCCCAACCAAATTTCCAATCTTTCCTAAGTGAGGGAATCATTCTTTCCTGTGAAATTTGAAAATTTGGAGCAAATCAGCTGTGAATAGATGAAGAGAAGAAACCTCATGCGAAACGACATCAGAGACACATCATTTGGTTAGAACTTTAAATCTTAGTAGCATGATGGACCTTCTTTTCAGATGAAGCAACTAGTGACATCCTTATCGGCAGCTATTACTGGTCATTGCTAGTGCAGGATACTGGAGGCAACTACACTGTAGACACAACTGGTACTTCAACAGATGTTAGTTTTGAGTTTTCTTCAAAAAAAAAAGGAAACTGATAAGTACGCCAGGGATCCACATAGGAGACTTGGAAGAAATCTACGGCAGGGGGTATGAGGAGGGAGGGGTGAAGGGAGCCTTCCTCGACACTCATGTTAATTCCAGCCGACCTTGTTGGAACACATGATCAACATGTCGTCTATTTCGATCCGTGCTAGGGACTCCTCGAGAAGGGAGTCAGGCAGCTATATTTTGTTTGGACCAGATGACATCAAATAAGAAGCCATAAGGCACGTCATCTCGTCCAAGCGGAATACTGCTGCTCTCCTCAAAGTATCCCTAACAGGAAATGAAATAAATAATGAAATTTTTGAAGTTTTTTGGATAGTTATAAGTGTTCCACTCATGTTTGATCCGCCTGCAGTAACCACCTGTCATTGCCAATTATATAGGCGAAACATAATTAGTGAACCCTTCAAGGCCCCAGCCCGGACCTAGCTTCCGAGCGCGGTGACCTCGAAGGGGTTTCCTGGCCGTCTTCTCATATTTCATAATCGCTTCGCATAAAAACTTGCGACTTCGAGAAACCCCTTGCACTAATATAAATTCACTTATGAAAAACTACAATATTTTGATTTTCTGGGTAGATTGATATCTGTCCACACTCGATCTTTTATCCCTTTTATTCTTCCTCGGGATTTACTTTTCATCCAATACTGCTGCTTTTCTAGCTTCGCACTCTATCGAGAGATGACCCCTTGACCTTTTCAGGGTGAACTAATCTACAATACTATCCTAAAAACTGCACAGCGAGGGGTGAAAGTCCGAATTGCTCAAACATATCAAGATGGAGGTACGATTTTCGAGTGTTTGTTGAGTATTTGACTCCATTTCGGCAGTCCCGGGTAGAGTAAGCATTAAACAAATAGAAGCAGTGCTTCGGAGATGCTAGGAGCATTATAATCCTTTTCGACCGTAACAAACATATTTTCAGGCTATCCCGAAACGACAAATTTAGCTGCAAATTCAAATGGGAATCTTGAAGTCCGCTCACTCGATTTTAAGCAATGGTAAGTGAAAGGGAACGATGAGCTTTCAAATGCTCCTGCTCCCATTATGAGAGCATTCCAGGTACCCGGGTGGTATCCTCCATACGAAATCGTGGGCTGTTGATGGCAAGCACTTCTATGTTGGATCTGCAAATTTTGATTGGAGAGCACTTACTCAGGTTTTCCTTCTTTTAAATCTGACAGCCGAAGACTTTCAATCGGGAAGTAGGCCGTGACAGTCTAGTCCCATACGGGATGCTTACCGCGACACAGGTGAGTGGGCGACCGACTAGGGCATGCTTAGGAAGGGACCACTAGCAAGCAGTCGCCGCGTGTCATGTTTAGATCGAAATTATTACATGAATCATAATCCAGTACGACTATCTCCGAACCTATTGGGCCTCTTTGGTGCGTTGGAAAGATTGTGTACCTACATAAAGAAAATGATGTTGACCCATGTCTTAGAGTTCCCCTTCTGAATCAACTTTGAAACCAGTTGTTCGATCCTAGGGAATTGAAAGCTTACCTTGAGCTTGTATTCTCCAATGCTGCCCACTGCGTGGCTCCTTCTGCTCCACAGCAATATATGTCAGGTTCTTGAAAAGACCGTCATTACAACCAGTTAACTCAGTTATTCTCCCAGTCAGTGCTTGAAGATGGCTGATCCCTTGTGTCGAATCATCGAATCATCGAATCCAATAATCTCAACTACTAAGACCAGTAAAGTAAACAGTAACGTCGCAGGTCAAAGAACTCGGAATGGCTGTATTCAACTGTCCTTGTCTTGCACAGGACTTCACCAAGCTGCTAGATATCTATTGGGATATGGGAGCTCCAGGTGCGAAAATTCCACAAAGGTAGGCAAACGGTTACTTGTTCTACTTTCATTACTCCCATCTTATCTTCCATTTTTTGTCTCAATCTGAATTACCCAAAATCACCGTGAGCCGTGCCTTTAATCCTCAACTGACTACCAGTTCATTGACTTGTCTTTGATCGAAGTCTCTTTCATAGTCTTCGAAATTGCGAATACATGCGGTTCCGAAACCTCAGCAAAGTTTCATTGTGGTAGCAGCACCTCTTCTGTAGACGGCCTCAGAGATGAAATACAGCCAACAGCTCCTTATAACAAAGTGTTCGCTGTCCAGGCATGGTGTGCGCCTTATTGAGAGCGCATGGGTCATCTGCTCACTTTGAACGGGTAGTACTTGTGGGAGTTAGCGCACAAGGTTCTCACCTGTTGGGTTTATGAATGGAAGAGCCACATCTAAAGAGCAATTCCTCCTTTTCCAGTTGGCCAGACTACTACGCAACGTCCTCCTACCACGAACGACCAACGTCAGTACCACAACCAAGTGGCAGTCAAGCAGTGTACTTTTCGGTAGAACCTCTTGCAAACCTTTTTACATTAGTCAGTGTAATGGGCTATTCAGCAGAATCGGAGCTGAAGAATCGTTTATAGCTAGGTTAATTTGATGAAAGTTGATTACCTGATGGTTTTAGGCTGCTCCTCCAGGATTTCAGTCATGTGGAAGAGAATCAGACATTGACGCCATGGTAAAACTCATCGACGAAGCGCAGGTATTTTTTGTGCCCTCCGAAAATTTTGTGATTGACATAATTCTGGCAGTAATTGATGTGTCTTTTTTTTAATGTGCTCAACTTCCCACAGATACTGACATCAGAAATAAATGAAATTCCTTATGAGTTCATTATTTTTCTAGGAAAGGCTGGACATGGCAGTGATGGATTACGCTCCTTGCACGCTCTACTTGAAGCCTTTAAACTCGTAAGTTTGAAAGTATCCAGCAGGAGGCTTGACGTCAACCAGATACAAACTTTTGAATTCCATTATCGAAAGAGAAATTGACAGACGTCTTTATCACTATGCCCTTTGGTCTTCCAGCCTACACATTGGACGGAGAACTGCCCCGCATTCGATTTCTGCTTACAATTAGAATCTAGTGGGGCGTTTTGAATGCGGCTTATAGAATGACTTATCGTGGACAGCCGATATACAAGCCAGTGTTTTTACCCACTCAGACAATGTGATAGCAACTAGTGGAGTTAGGAGAACTCGGGTGTCAAGCCTGGTTTCAATCCCTAAAAAAAGCTTGTGTTTATATCCTCACTCACTACTGAACCACCCCCTTCTAGAAAAAAAATATCACGAAGTAAACAGAAAAAGTTTTTCTGAACAGATTGAGACTCTATCTTTCATCAACTATCAATAAAATAAGTAAACGAAATGCTCTAGGACTTTTTTTTGTAATTTCTGCTTTTTAAGGTGGTACGGCAGACTCGATGAAGCGATTCGAAGAGCTGCTTTTGACAGGCAAGTCAAGGTGAGTAAACAATCGCCCATGTATGGATCTGATACCACAGATCTTTTTTTTTTGATTTTTTTCTTTTTTTGATTTTTTTCTTTCCTAGGTCCGATTCATGCATTCTCGTTGGTCTCATACCAATGCCAGAGCCTATGCGTATATGCATTCACTACAAGATATAAGCAGTCAGCTACAGTGCGTATACTCAGGTTCGGAAATCGTTTACGTCAATCATAATTGGTTTTTGATCATTACCAGTTACGTGACTTGCAGGAGGAAAGTGCGTTCGACGTGGGTCAATCGAAGTCCGTTTCATTCAGGTACCAGAAATGCAGTACGGTAACATACCGTATTCCCGAGTTTATCATAACAAGTATTTCGTCACTGAAAAGGCAGTTTATGTGGGTGAGTAATTGAAATGCTTGCCTTTGGAAGAAAAAGTTAGGCCCCAGTCTCAATTACAATCGCTTCGTGATGAGCGCAGGATTTCAGGACGATTAAGTGTCAGTAGGACCTATTGTCACGGTTGAAAGGGTCGAGAAATCCCGGTCCTTTTCTATCTTCAGGGCATGCATACAGCATTCTCCCGTTCCTCTACCAATGCGACATTCTTACCCGAAAATCTGCCGAACAGAGGGCTTCTAAGGACCAAATAATCGTGCGTAATCTTGCAGGCACTTCAAACTGGACTCCTGATTATTGGAAGTATACTGCTGGAATAGGAATGGTTATACGAGCAGATGACTCAAGCCAAAAATCAGTCATAGTGGATCAATTTGCGAAGGTATCTATGTCAAATAGAACTCAAAGAGCCGCACACATTTCTTCACTTGTTACTCTTTTGATTTACCATCCGCTCCTGGAACAATCAGGGAAATATGATGCTCCGGCTTGAATCACAGAATACTCGATGGATGTCCCATTTCAGATATTCGAGAGGGACTGGAATTCGGACTATACCATTCCTTTATCCTACTTTGATAACAACGGGAAATGGACGAACGGCTCAAGTACAAGCTCACCGTTATGATTCTGTTATAAACAGATGTGTGTATAAATATAAATAATTATTATAAATGGTTTGAAAGGCCGAGTGCCATGTGGTGTAGAGATACATCTCATCTTGAATGGCCACTGCGACCAGATATCCTTCCCTTGTCAGACAGGTTTCCATGCTTCTCTAGATAAATTTTGATCTAAGTAAACGAGTTTTGTCTTCTGCTCATAGGCAGTATTTCAATATCGGAAAAGAGCCGAACTGCAAGGGGTCCACAGCGCAACTGGTGAAGACAACTAGCCACAGAGATAGGCTCACATCCATTTTCTACTGTCTCCTTTGCCGGCATTCTCCTGATCTGACACAATTTAATTACCTTGGAATCGTTACTTTGGAACATTTTTGGAAGGGGGAGAGTTTTCAATGATTTTGCCACAATTGGATCCTGCTTTTGATATTATATTAAGTTTCCTTCAATGTGATGAAACTTTGGAAAAAAGTTGTATCTGTTGCAAGGCCGTTGTACCAACCCAATTTAACTTGCAACCTATCCAGAGTTCAAACGAGAGAGATCCTGTGGATGTACGGACTGCTTCTCTTCAATGACCAGCAACATTAATAAACGCAATGCCTAAGGCCAAAGTAAATATTACAGTATGATCTAATTAGCTATATCCGCTTCTTCAATGTCCAGATCACCTTTAGGCAAGGTGCTGAGGGTCTATATGCTCCACTTATAAAGTTTCGGTATTGAGTCTTTGTAGCCATGAGAGGCAGTTGCCTCAGACCTCTTACATTATATCCCTCTGGGTAAGCTTAGATAGTGAAGACTGATACGTGTCACGTTGTGATACTATTAATGGGTCGTGGTTGATCGGGCTGTCTCAATTGCTCTATCGTCACGATAGTTGAGCAACTGTTCGGTATTGGTGAAAATGACATGAGCGACTTGTTGGAACTTCTACTTGGTTGGAAGTTCATCGGTCTGAGATGCAACCACTTAAGAGCTGGTCTATGTCAAGCGTGATAGGTAACGCTGTAAAGTTCCGAAACGCTTTAAGGCCTTTGATAACGACGAATTGGTCGGAACGTCAGGTGAACAAATGTTCAACCATGAAAAACCTGTTTGGCACAGAAGCATTGACTATTAGTAGTACAGCTACCCAGTTTTCAAGAAAGGTGGACATGGAAAGTATTCAGAATTTCTAGGCGTTACTTTCTAGTGGGGCCTAAAGAAGTGGGATAGGTGCGCATGTTATCAAATAGAAACCTGAACGGCTAACCAGCAGCTAGTAAGAAACATAGCACTGCATAAGTTTGATGCATTCCTGTGTTGGCGATTTTTTTGCTCATTATCCTCTT